CATATTCCACGTTGGCCCCATGACAATAGGGCTCAAACTTCCTACTGCCTAACGGTACCACAGGGCACAGCAGCACTGCATCGTGTGCCCACATGTGCTAATGATGGCACAGACACATCTGTATTGCCAGTCACACAAGGGTACAATTATGTACAGATCAGGATAACTGATATGATACAGGACTATGTTATAACTGTACGTACTTATTACGCCAGACTTTTCCTCAGTGTTTTACTAACACAAAAAGGCTCCCTGTAAAACAGGCACTGTATTCCACCATCAGCAAGCAGCTCTATGCAGAAGTGCTATTTGTACTTGAATTACTTTTATGCTTATTTATAATGGCCTTGGGAGCAAAAGCCCATACCATGTATGTATACACCATATAGCTAGTTGCACAAACAATATGTTATACCATGTACGTATGTGTACACACATTCTATGATATCATGTCACAAAGCAACCTACTGATACATTTTCAGACTCCATTCTTGTCACTAAGTAACACAAAATGAACATTTAAGATCATCTGGGGAAAATTAAATATTTGCAAGGCAATAATTTTACCCACACCATAGCTCATTTTTAAAGTCTCCTCTCCCGTCTGTATCATACAGCACAATGGTGGTGATCACAGGGTAAACTATATTACCAAATGCTTTCTGAATAACAAAGCAACAAACAAACAAACAAACAAACAAAAATCTCCAGCAAAGAGCGAATACGAAGGGCTGGGGAATAGCTCTGTTAATAAAGTACTTACCTTGCAAACACAAGGACTCAAGTTTGATCCTGAGAACCCACATTTAAAAACCTAGGCAAAGTGGCATATGCCAGTAATCCCAGAGCAGCGAAGGCAGACAGGGATCCCTGGGACTCACTAGCCAGCCAGCCTAGCCAGCTAGAGAGTTCCAGGACAGGAGAGCTCTGTCTCAAAGAAAAACATAGGTGGTGCTGAGAAACAAAGTGGAAGTTGTCACTGGCCTTTGCACACACTAACCACATGCATTCACAAATACCCACATGCATGTGCATTTACACATATGCATGTAAACAAAGAATGAATATGACACCTACGTTTTATAGTATGGACGGCTCCAATTTAGTTCAAATGGATTATTTACAGCTATGTTAAGGACAGAGATATAACCCAAATAAAATTATAAGAAAAGCAGACACTTTTAAATTTGAAATGACCTCTTTTTCATTGATGGTGTTGCGACAGTTGGTACATGAATTAGTACACAGAATTCAACAACCAAGATGGGCCTTCGCTCTCAGGAATCTACAAGAGAAAAATACATCTTAAATTTAGTTTACAAACAATGACTAAAACCCACACAACTGTTGAGTGCTCACAACATACCAGACGAATTTACTGTCAAGCAGTATAAAATAATTATACAATGAGCCGATAGCAAAAATAATAATGTTGTACCACATACTTTGCATGTATCATTTTCCATGCGAAAAACAATTCTGCAAAGGAAATAACATAATCTGCTTTGCAGCTGAAAATTAAAAATCCGAAGTTGGGCAGCTGCCCTATATCCAGTGGCTCATGTATAAGGTCAAATCATTCTTTCCGAAAAACTAGGTAGAAGGTTATGATTAACCTACTAAAAGGAATTATAAAATTATCATCAGAAACTACAAATGCTTACCTACCTATCACGTGTCACTCTAAGAACACTGGCTTACAATCATAAATGTAAAAAAAAAAAAGCCTACATTCTGTATCCCTTCCACGCATAGGCGTCACGCGCACTGCGTAGCTGTGGCTGATTTCTCAGCAGAAAGACCCGAAGTGTGTGCCGTGCTGTCGAGTAGATATGTCTAAGCTTTGACTCACCAATGTGGCCTGCAAAGTTCATACTAGAGAACAGTGTAATTGAGCTACAAAACAAAATCACACAATGTTTTAGGACGTTTACAATTTTGCACCAGGCCAAATTCACAGCTGTGGTAGGAGGAATCCATTGTTGATCTGTCCCTTCTTTACCTCCAGAGAACAGACCCCAAAGAGCTGGCTTCCCCTAGCTTCAGGGCAGGCTACTACACTCTGCCCATCCCATGTTTTCAGAGATGGCAGAGGACTAACAAAACACTAAGGAAAACAAATGGGAATGGGGGGAAACATAAAAAGTTTTTAACTTAGAAATTAAATAAGCATGATATACTCAGATGCTGAGTACAACAGAGACCAGGTCCTGGCCCTAGAGAGCTTCCAAACTCTCCATCTATGACAGCTTTGCAGGCACCGACCAGGTACACAAAAAGCCACAAGATTTGGGTTTTTGGATCCGATGCTCAAGTGACAAGGTCTATGCAAATACTTCAAAATTTAAAAAACTCTGAACTTTAAAACACACTAGTCCCTAAATGATATGTTCCAATGACTCCAATCAGATGCGAGGCATTTAAGCAGCCCTTGAATTTTATGAAATGTTTTCTGAGCATCTCGCTTTAAACCTCTACAACTGCCTACAAGAATGACTAGTCTCCAGGGACTAATGAGGAGGCAGATTAAGAAGCACCATATTCACGTCTGGGGTGCCACAGATAAGAAAAGGCTGCACTGTAAACCCAGGCCTAGGTGGACCACACCCAAAATCTTTGAAGAAAAATGACTCTGGTTTCTATCAAGTGAATTCACAACTCAGTTCATAACATCTGAGGCAAATTCACAGTCACGGCAAAGGAGTCTGTATGAGAAAAGCGGACAGAAACCAAGGTCAGGTCCAATCAAGACTGGGCTATGGAGCAAGCTGTTCCCACTCGCCCCTCACGGTCTCCCCCTGCACCAATGTTCTACAGGGGCAACGTGAACAATTATGGTAATCTTTAAGTACGGTTCTACAGAGTAACTGTGGGATACGCAAAGACGACATGTCATCAGTCAAAAATTAGACATACCCAAGTATTCTGAAGAAAAAGTGAAATCATCTCAAATATGTAAACCCCACTTTTACCACATTAATACCAACTCTTGTGAGTCATGCTTGTAACTTAGATCTTCATTCAAAGTCTCTGCTCAGGCTGGGCATAGAGCTCGTAGTTGGCAGTGTCTGCTCAGTATGCATGACGTCCCGAGTTAGATCTAGCACCATGCGTGACAGGAAGGCATCTACTCTCAGAGACTGTTTAAAGACTGCTTATTAAAGTCTGTCCCCCACTCCTGTCTGTAATAAGCTGTAAAAACCCTACCTCTGCCTACCCAGCATGCCTTTCTAGTCCTTTTTGTTGTGAAATCAACAAGAACGACAATAAGTATCTGCTTTATCTGAAGAAATGCCACTCACTCCACACTGTCTTCATGAGGCTAAAACCCCAAACTCCCAATGCTTCCATGCCACCTTTCGCCCCACAGATGGGTACAAGTGTTCAGATAGTGATTGCTAAGGAGGTGCTTGGGATCTTAAATTTAACATGGCTCAATTTAAAATTAAAATTACCAAAATTACAATCTTTTATATTTAACTTAAATTAAACAGTATCTACAAGAAATCAAGTTAGCTAAAAAGTATTCTCATTTAAAAAAAAAATCTCAGCTGAGAATTTTGGTGCTAAAAATTGTGCCTGGGGCTTCACACTCTAGTTTTAAACCAAACCCTAAGCCCCTCAGCTAAAACAGCTTATAAAATACAAAATATGTCTTAGTGATGATAAAAGTTGTCTATATATCTTATGATCAGTTGGCCAAACTGAAGATTCTTATAATAGCTTCTTAGATCGTAAACATTAGAATAGTTGATAAAACTCAATGACTTGGTATTTTTATCATCATAGGCAGGTCCAGACCTACTGGCAAGCATTAAATTTCAAAGTTACAAAGTCATTATGCCATCAAGCAGTAAATTAAGACTTGAATGTAGCAGTTGAGCCCCCTGGGAGTTAGGATCTTGCCTGCTACGAGTGTGCCTAGTTGCACCTGGCACACAATCAACATGCAGCTGGCTGTGAAATGTAGGAGCGATGGCGTCACTGTTCACGTTCACTAGCACACTCAATGCCCTGCGTGCCCCGTTCCACCGTCTAGGAACCTTCTAATAGGCATCCCATATACTCCAGCCAAACTGGTACCTCAAACACATTCTGCCATCTCTCGCCTTTGCTCAGGCTCCCTACAGATCCCACTACTGCCTCCACCTCAGTCCCTCAGCCTGTCTAGCCTCAGGACATTACCTCATAAAGCTGATCCATTATTTCTGGCTTGGGGCACTATATATCTCTTGTATCTGAACCAATAAAACACTGACATTCGACAAAGGCTTTTTTATGCACTGCTGAATGAACTGAAGATACCTCTACTATCTAAGCTATTCTAACCAACATGCTTTCCTAAGCTTCTTCTGAATAGGAAATCAACATCTACCTCATCTTTGCAGAGATCACTCCTCATTCTGTTATATGTGTGGGGTTGTCAGAATCATAATCCCTGTTCCATACTACGCCCGAAACAATCTCCCCATATTTTACAGGTCGTCATACACTGAACTTTAATTCATGGTTCCGTATGTGTGTATCTATACACACAAAGCTGATGTGGCATTTTATAATGCTAAATTCTCACAAGAAGCAGTCACAACCACAGGTCAGCACACTAAGAGTTCTGTAAAACTAACATGGAAACATATTATGGGGGAAAAAAAGAGGGGGGGACTTGGAAAGCAAAATGTCTAAAGAACATTCCAGGCATCCAAGCCCATGTGCCAATCTTAGCAAATTCAGTAGGTTTTTGTTTTTTTTTTACCAACTCAAACAACTAATGATCGGTTCAACCAAGCCTAAAGCAGAACAGCAGCCAGAAATAAAAACCAGAGGTTAAAATCTCACAAATGTTACCACCTCTGAAAGACAAAGGTGGTCTTCTAAATAACATGTAAGAGCCTATCAGCTTCAGCTAAACGGTTAACTGTTGGTGGCAGGGACTACGTAAGGAAGACCAGCTAACCTATACTACAGCAGCCTGAAGAAGCTAGGTTAAGAAGAAGATATGGGTGCTCGCTTCGGCAGTACATATACTAAAATTGGAACGATACAGAGAAGATTAGCATGACCCCTGCCAAGAATGTCACACAAATTCCTGAAACATTCCATATTTTTTGATGAGACCTGATAGGCTAGGGTCAAATAGAAGGAGAGGAGGACCTCCCCTATCAGTGGACTAGGGGAGAGTCATAGGGGGAGAAGAGGGAGAGAGAGTGGGACAGGGAGGAGAAGAGGGAGGGGAACACAGCCGGGATACAGACTGAATAAATTGTAATAAATGATAATAATAAAAATTTTATAAAGAAGAACTGGGGAGGTTCTGATACCCATTCACAAACTCCAGAATGTTCTTTTATTGCCATAACCTAAAGAAATAAAAATTAGGTCCACTAACAAAGGGGTCTTTGAAACCATGGCTGGGTTCCATGGATAAGCTACGGGGTTTGCAAGACCTGAAGATCAAGCCAGTGCTACAGGAAATGACATGGACCACTGAAGAAAATGTCGGAAATAGCTTCTGGAGTTGACACTGACTGTGCGAATGAATGTGCTCAGCTCTTACTCAGCATCTTCACAGAGCAAGCCACTGTCCCTTGAAATGCTCATCGTTTCTATCAGAACTACTAAAAACCGTGGACCCAAAACAGCAAATTAACACCACCTGCCAGGAGTGTTAGTAAGCAAAGCCAAACAGCTTACATAGGAAACAGTATCATAAGATTATATTGAAAAAAATTACGTGAAATACTACTCTCAAATTATTTTCTACTCCAGGATATCCTCCTAAATTTACTGCTAAGTGAGGTTAAAAAGAAAATATAGGCACTATTTTCTTCCCTTTTTTTAAAGGAAGATTAGTACACTGGAACACTGACTGGCTGAGCAGTCAGTGTCGTGCTGTTTGCATCGTAGGTATTATTTTTGGTAACAAACTTTTTTCAGTAAAACCTCTTATATATTTTTTTTATTAAAAAGTAAAACTATTTTGAGCCTAAAATGCCTCCAGAAACAGATTAAAAATTGCATTATAGGGAATTCATGAATTAAGGTCATCATCTTTTAAAAGCTTCATTAAGAAGCAAAATCCTCGAACAAACTCTGCAAAATTCTAGTACAAATATGTTTTGACATGTTCTAATTCCAGTCTTAATGTCGTAAATTCTCTTCAGAGCATTTGCTCTACCTAAGCTTCAAAACAGGATCTCAGGCACAAAGCAAGTCATGGAGCCTGTTCACCTCAAAGTAAGATGCACTGGAAGCAATACTTCCTTCCCATTAAAAGGTCTGTCTTCAGACTGCTGTTCTTCTTCCTTGATAAGGAAGTCAGTAAAGGTTCCAACAGGGGACATTTTCAAAAACTCTTCTGGAAGTCATTAGGAGCTGCCTCCTCCAACCCATTTATTTTTGTGTCTCTCAGTGGAAACTACTTGCCAATTGCTAACGTGTTAGAGTAAAATAAATGAAACGTCTTCTCACACACCACTACTCCACTGTCTTGTCGCAATACAAAGTAATGCAAGTAAGTAGATGACAAGGCGGCCTTGTCTCTGACATGTGACTCCATGGTTGGGGCGCATCTAAAACATGTTGTCAATGTTTTAAATGCCTACATCTGTAAATTACGGCTCAGAAAGGCCCAGAGGCCACCTCAATAATACAGGTGAACACCACTGTTCTTGGTTGCTCGCCAAAACTAGACAGAGATGATGCAGTAGCAGCGTGACTGCTGTAGAGGTAGCCAACCATTTGCCTGCTTGGACAGGAGGCCCTGTCCATGGCAGAGAACACTTAGAACTGTGTCTCACCTATGCTTTCCATCGCTATGCAGAGACGACATGACCACAGCAACTCTTATAAAGGAAAACTTTTTAATTAAGTTTAAAAGGAAAACATTTACCTTGGGCTGGCTTACAGTTTCAGAGGTTTAATCTATTGTTGTCATAGCAGCATGATACTAGAGTCATGATACTGGAGAGTTCTACATCTTGTTCCGCAGGCAGCAGAAGCAACCGTGTACCATACTTGGTGTAACTTCAGCATACATGACCTCAAAGCCCACCTCCACAGTGAGACACTTCCTCCAACAAGGCCATACCTACTCCAACAAGGTCATACATCCTAATAATATCACTCCTTATGGCCAAGCATTCAAACATATGAGTCCATGGCAAGCATTCTTATTCAAACCACAGTAAGTGTAAACCTGATCAAAAGCCCATGGTTGCATGGTTCATAAGCCCTAGTGGAGTCATAGGCTCTATTGGGGAACCCACTATTTATATTTTCACAAATGAACACAGTATATAACTTCTAAGTATTTATGATTATAGCCACAGATAAAATGCTGCTCTCAGCCTTAGTGAGAAAAAATTCATTTGCAGTGGGCAATAGTTAATGTAGAGACTCCTAACTAGCCAAAGTGCTAAAAATAAGTGACTGTTGAGAGCTCAGTATTCAATGGGACATCTCCATCACTCCCTCCATGGCCTTGGGAGCATCATGGAGGAGGGAATGGAGGGAGCAGAAAGTATATGACAACCTAAAGTGAAGAGGAGTGCTAACATACACTCCTCCAGACAGAACGTGGACATTGCCCTCATGAACTCACAACAGCAGTGGTTGGCTACCTACTTAGCGCCTCCCTGCTAACGTCCCATCTTGGTATGGGGAGGAAGTCCTGAGGCCCTAGCCTTACCTGAAGAGCTACTGGCAGGTAACATCTGCTTAAAAAGGGGAAATCTTTCTCTTTATTGGTCAGTCACTGGTAAGTAGCCCATGTTCCAGAAAATATCCCTCACTCATCCTCTTGCAAGCAGCCCTCATTAAACTCAGCAGGCCACAAAGGAACAAAACAAAGCAAAGGAAAGTGAGAAGGACTTGCTGGGAAGAAAGGGTTAAACAGGAATAGTAGGAGAATGACAGAGAAAGTCATGGGGTGAAAGGACAAAAATAGCTCATTAACATATGAATTTGTCTAATAAAAATATTTTAAATGCTGAGGGTTTTTTTGTTTGTTTGTTTGTTTGTTTGTTTGTTTTAATGTATGGTAGAGTCAGAAAAACTAGTAGAAATGTCCCAGGGTTAGAAATAATGAGAAAACACAAATCTGGTGATAAATGCCCAAAATCCCAACAAAATGAGGCAGAAAAGAAAGACATTAAATTATGGGGACACAGTCACCTCACTGCAGAGTCTAGTTGAAGCCTCTTGCCAGCTGAGAATCTAGAATTTTAATACAACTAACAATATTTGCTTAAGGCCTTTCTCCATAGCTATAATTTTCAGCAACTTTACCAGAAACCCCATTACAGTAAGAGACATATCGCATAAAGCTTCACAGCACAGTAAGTTCAAAAGCAATTTGTCTTACAGACGGGATGCATGGAAGAATGATCAGGAGAAGAAACAGGGTGAATGCAACAGCTAAATCTAAATACTGTTATTTCTGAGGCTAAAAGATGAAGTCTGGAGAATCATAATAAAAATAAGTGACATCATAGGAAGTTGACCTTACTGTTCATTAGAGGAATAGAGGGCTGCAAGAGCCATTTTGTTTAGACAGCATGGTACCAACACAGATATCCAACATGGGCAAAGATGGCCAACACTGGACATCTGGGGGGCTATGACTCAGCAAAAATGGGGAACTGCTAACACCAGTGTCTGGAAAACCCCAAAGCAAACACTATTATATAACCATTCCTGGCAGAAGGCTACTTTTATGTGATTCTGGATAAATACGGCCTTGAGGTCAGAGCCAAGTGCTTTGATCTTGTCAACATGTCTGTGTGTGTCTGCCTGTAAGGCCTGAATACCTAGCTCTGTGAGGCCTGTGTGCCAGTCGGCTGTGTACCTATGCCCACCTATGCGTGGCCCATGTGCTAGCATGTGCTTGGGTGCCTGCCAGCATCCCCATGCCTAGCCGTCTGTGTGGCAGCCATCACTCAAGTGAATAAAGTATGTCTTATCTGGCTGTGACACCTCACATCCTCTTCAATCTCCCAGCCTCCTGGCACTGGAGCTTGAACCTCAAGATGAGAAATAAAGATAGTATTTAATCTACATTTGATGAATAGTGACATCCCTAGGATAACCAAGAAGGAATTGGGAGAAGGGGGAACAAAACAAAAACTTTTAGTAGAGTTGACGGAGAATAAAACAGAGAGAAAAGAAAATGAGGGGAGCGGAGGGGAAGGGAGAAGAGGATGAATTCAGACACTGGAGTACTAAAATTCCTGTTTTGCATATATTACTTCTAACCACAGACATCTATCTAGTTTTTGTTGGGTTTTGTTTTGTCTTTTGAGACACTGCCTCATGTAACCCAGGTGTTTTCCTCGCTTCTACATCCCAAGTGTTAGGATCACAAACTAGACTGAAGTTTGTTTTTCTGCCTTTACTGAAAGTATTACACTCAGGTTTATACTAGCATGCACACTCTACCTAGGACATGGCATGGCACAAAGGTGAATAAACATCTTTTCCTTCCTCTTCATTCACAACACTGAAGTACGCTGCAGAAAGATTACTTTAGATTTCTGAATCACAGTTTTGATCATTACTATCACAAGCATTACACCAAATTCAGCTATACATATGCCTCCTTGACTCTCTCCACACTCACTATTCAGGATTGAGAAATTCCTAAACAAAGCATCTTATGTATAATACCTCAAGTTTATTACCTGTTCCAAAAAACAGGCTTAAATGTTTAGACACAGTCAGCTCATCAATTAAGAACACTTGACGATCTGAAAGTCCCTGGTTCTGTTTCCAGCACCCACACGGCAGCTTACAACCATCTGTAGTTCCAATTCCAGGTGGTCTGAGGTCCCCTCCTAACCCTTCATGGGTCCCAGGCGCACACATGATTCACATACTTACATGCAGGCAAACATTAATACACATAAAAAATCTTAAATGGTTTAGATTTTTTCAGAAAATTAAGTTTTTATGACATAAATGACCCTTACTTGGCAAATGTAAGATTAATACAGAGTACAAGATTCAGTTACCAGCCTATGAGCTAACCAAGTAAGCCCTCACCCCAATTAATTCACCACCTTAATGATGTGCAACTCAGCTCAGTTCGTTAAAATCTGTCAAAATTAAGA